ACCTCGGCTCTAGGGGGCGTTGGTGATCATCTCCGTTTCAAAGCCGGAGAGCCAGCGCTGTCCGAAAACATCTCCATGGCCGTGTGGCCGGCATGACTCAACGCCGAAGGCGCACGGAACGCTGTTCCCTTCCCACCAAAGGTGGTCCCTGTTTTTCTACTTGCATTTTTTACCTGCTTTTGAACGGCTAGGTTGGCAGAAGCTGGGACGAGTCACGGGAGCTCACTCCGTTACGCGGCGCTGGGGATTCGAACCGCCAAACTGCCAACTTTTCTGATCGACAAGCTCAGCCACTGAGCCAAACAATATCTGAATATAAATACTGAAGTAATTTGGTTTTGTTTTTAATTACCTTCTTGCTGACTAGGTCACGACTGAATGGGTTCGTGCATTTTTACCATTTAGAACCATCATGCTGTAGGCGTAACCCATCGAGCCAGAACGTGGTTCGAGTCTGGCTTAGGTTATGCTTAAAATTTTGCTTTAAAGTAGCCAGAATGTTGGCCTCCTCCAAATTAAGAACATTTACTTTCAGCTCAAAATGTGGTGGTGGTATGTTTTTTTTGTAGCAATAAAATCTTACGTGGAATTTTGTAGCAAAACGGTCTTTTTTTTGGAATGAAAGCATGCTCTCTTAAAAAGCGACGCCTGGCAAATGTTTTTTGAGGGCGCTGTGGGGTGGGTGAGCGTTGGGAAGGATGTACCTCCAGAAAACCCCCAGAGACCTTGGATCCGGAGGCCCCGTCTGTGTTTCCTACAGTGACGGCTACGAAGAGGAGCACTGACCTGTGGGTACAATCATGGGAGGAGGCCGTGGGGCCATAATAGGCGGAGCCGAGGGCGGCATCGGGACGACATTGATCCGGGGGGCGTGGATGATGGGGGGCATTGGAGCGGCGATGACGGAACCGGGTGGTAAGCGGACCACGGACGTCATCGGGGGACGAGGCATGACCGGCACTGCGCTGACGACGGTGGTGCGAACTGGAGGGGGCATCTGGAAGGCAAACCAGAGTCAAAGGGGAGCTGTGGGAAAGGGACCAGACCGGAAACCAGGATATTTCCAATTTCACTCTGGAGCAGAGGATGGGTCACCTTGGATGAGCCCACCGCCCAGGGGTTGTGGAGGAAAGAGGGTGAAGGAGAACTTACTGTATTTTTCGGAGTATAAGACACACCTTTTCCCTCGTGGCACGACAAAACCGCGCTCGACTAAGCCGCGCCTGATTAAACCGCGTCGCTGACGTCATCAACAGGGCGACAACAGCCAGCNTGCGTGGCTACTGAAACAGTACCTGATATATTTTGTAACTGAGCTACCTCTACATATATGTATCTAAACATGGGTATGTGCTTAGCTAATTAAAGAAGGCCCACCAGTGGCTAATGCAGTAGAATAATAGAATAGAATAGCACAACAGAGAGTTGGGAAAACACTCAAAGAAGTTCCTTTAGATGCTCCATTTCCTGTACTTAAAACATAAGCAGGCCTGTAGACTCTTCTCATTCCACTAACGGGCTGTCCCAATGTCCACCTTTCAACCAAACCCCTCCAAACCAAATTGACATTCCTTTTTTTATTATTCTAGGTTTCTGGGAGATGTTTCTGTGCTTAGGGTCACCCTTTGGACAACGGTAGAGTTTTAGGGAGTCTCCCTATACCCACCCTTATTCCACCTCTCGCAAATCCCAGCTTCAAATTCCATCCCCAGACAGAAGCCCGAAGGAAGAGTAGAGGCCAACTTCTCGTTTCTGTCCTATGGGTTTAAGAATTCCAAGATTGGACTTCTCTCTGTCCATAATTTGGGAAGGAGGGAAACCAATCAGTTCGCTGCTTTCTAGATGAGTATGTAGGTTGGCCTGTCAAGCAATTTCTCTCCCCTCCCCCTTCCCCGTGCAAATGAAGGACACAAACACACATGTTGGTGCAAGGCAGGTGTGCATTTAAAGCTTTGGTGCAGAAAAAGCAGGGAGAGTGAAGTTCGCCTCCTCCACTTTTTCCCTGGATCTCACAAACAAACTCTTTGGCGGTACAATATGCCCATCCGGGGTGAAAAGCCCCAAACTTCCTTCAATTGCCTTAGGACAGATTTGATACACAGAGCAAAGCAAAGAGTAGGATCTACAACACGGTTAATCGGTCTAGCTAAGGCTTCCGCTTGCCCGGATTAGAAAGACACAAGAGGGCGTGAGTTGGGATTCCTTCGAACGTCAGTTCCACCTCTCTTTTACGGAAAGTAGCTTCCGTTCCCTNAAAAAAACAACAACAAATAAGCAGAAAGTTGCAATATTTTTAAAAGAAAGAAAGAAAGGAGGAGGAAAGAGAGATGGGAAACAAAAATAAACGAACCCCGCAGGGCTGCTACCATGACTCCTTCTGCAGAAATAAACACGGATGAGGTTGCTTCCCCGGGTGGCGAAACGTCTGCGGGGAAACCGCCACGCTCAGAAGCGGCCGAGAACTCGGTTCAATTCAACGCAGAAGTCCAGAAATCTCCTCTTCTCTCGAAATAAACTTTCTACCCTTCGCAGGCAGAGCGAAAAAGGAGGAGGAAAGCAGATCACGGCATGGGAAACACCCCCTCCCCAAAGTTCTCAAGGGGGTAGACAGGGAGGGGAGACGGTAGCCCCCTTTTAGAGGGAAGGGCTGGCTTGCCTGGGGAAGCCATTCGGACACCACCACTAAAAAGGCCCCGTCACGTGCCAGTGGGGGTTGCAGCTGGGCAAATTCTCCACTTTCTACAGTTTGTAAGCGGACGGAAGGAAGCAGCCGAAGGTGTTAGAGGGAGTCCTCTACTTATGGCCACAACGGAGCCCAATCCTCCTGTTGCTGAGCGAGGCAGTTGTTAAGGAAGTTTTTGCCTCGTTTCACAACCCTTTCTGGCCACAATTGTTAAATGAATCCTCCCTACAGTCGGTAAGTTAGGAACACGGCCGTTAAGTGAATCTGCTTTTCCCCCAAACCCCCATTGGCTCTGCTTGTCAGAAGGTCTCAAAAGGGGGATCAGGTGAACCCCAGCACACGGCGACCGTCATAAATGTGAGTCCGTTGCCTGGATTCGGATCAGGCGATTGTGGGGCAGCTGCTACGGGTCAGTGTGAAAAACGATCATCTGTCCCTTTTTTCAGTACCGTTCTAACAGCCACTAACTGAATCGTTGTAAGTTGGGGACCACCCATATCTCTCTGGGGTCCTGGTCAGCCTCTGCTACCCCGGGGTCTCCTGAAGAAGCGGCCACCGCCAGAGTTGTTCGCAATGCCCTTTAGTGCCATGCCAACAGGGGGCGCTACTCTGGATCATCACCCCACAGCTTGCAAAGAGAGATGTGGGCGCGGATTATCGTGCCCTGGATCCCTAAGGGAGCTGCCCTCCTTCCCTCAGTCACACCCGCCAAGGACCTTGCAAACCAGGCCAAAAAGGTTACCCAGAGAACTAGGGGGGGGGCAAGGAGCAGCCCAGCACCCCCCCCTTTTCCTCCATGCCCCCAAATGTTGGATATTCATTTGTGGTGTAGGGTTTCCTGCCTAAGCAAGGGTTGGACTAGAAGACCTCCAAGGTCCCTTCCAACTCTGATATTCTATTCTATCGTGACCCGTCAAAACCGCGCTCAACTAAGACGCGCCTGATTAAACCGCGTCGCTGACGTCATCAACAGGGCGACAACAGCCAGCGCGGAGAAAGAAGGGCGCTTTAAATAGCGCTTTGAAAGCAAGCCGATTCAACTTAAGGTAAGGGTTAGGTTTAGGGTTAGGTTTAGGGTTAGGTTTAGGGTTAGG